GCAGGGTGAGGAGCCCCAAAAGAGAACACCAGCTCACCTACTGTCCCCACACAGGGGTCACCTACTTTCCCCTCACTCCCAAATCTGTCACTTTGGACCCACCACACAGCCCACCAGCTCTGGCTGATGAAACCCAAACAAAGTCCCTGTGTGCACATGTCTTTGGTCAACCTGTCCTTGTCTCAGCCTGTGCTCAGCAGAGCAGATACACAGCCTCATCCTCAGCCCTCTCTGCATTTGAACTGAACACACTTAAGGAGAATAAACAACTCCAATTCATAGCTATTTCTGGCCAGAACCACTACTTAAACAGCCCTGAGAGCCTCAGTGTGGACATTTTAAAGCAAGGGTTGTTTTTTATCAACTCAAGCTAAATGGATGAAGTCATAATTTATATTCTCTTCTTTCAAGCAAGATATTCCTTAGATAACAGTCTGGAACATTCCAGCTGTAGGATATTACCTAAACACCATCTGCACCTGATGGTAATACCACTTCAGTGTGTTCCAAACTCAAAACCAAGTGAAAACCAAACATGAGCTGAGGAAGTCCCAGCCCAGGAGGTGCTGAGCAGCAGAGTCCTTACCAGACTGTGTCAGGGCTGGTTTCCACCTGCACTCTCCAAGGCTTTGATTCATAAATGGCCTCCCCATTGGTGTCCAGCCACCTCCCAAGGGCCAGGAGTCTTTCCTGGAAGATGGGGGCAATCACTCCTTCTTTTGTAGGTCCCACATTGAGAAGGTAGTTGCCTCCCAAACTCACAGTCTGCACCAGCTCCTGCAACAGATAAACCAAGGCAACAAACTGCATTACCTTCACCATAAACCTCATCAACTGCTCCTTATGGAACACATGACAATTCTTATGGAAAGCAGAGGGAGGAAGGAAACCTCTAACCCTCAGTGATCCTCCCCCACGGATTACTTTGAACTCAGCTTTCTCACCTCAATGATACTTGCTTCATCCATGACTTCAGCAATGCTCATGTTGCTTCGATAGCCCCAGGAGAGCTTGTCAATGGAGGAGCACATCTCCCACTTGTGGGCTGGCAGGGTCCCTGGCTTGTACTTGTCAGCACAGTTGTAGTAGCCTCCGTGGTGGCAGGAGCAGTTGTTACACCAACGGTCGTTGACAACCACAGTGTCCTGAGAAAACAGACTCAGCTCAGTGCAGACAAGTCTTGTGAGGCCTCACCTGAAGTGCTGTGTACAGTTCTCATGTGCTCAACATGAGAAGGACATGGAACTGTTGGAGCAAGTCCAGAGGAGGCCATGAAGCTGATAATAGGACTGGAGCATCTTCCCTATGAGGACAGGCTGAGAGAGTTGGGGCTGTTCAGCCTGGAGAAGAGAGGTTGTGTGGAGACCTCAGAGCAACCTGCCAGGAGCTGAAGGGACTCCAGGAAGCTGCAAAGGGACTCTTAGGAACTGCAAGGACAGGACAAGGAGTAATGGGGATATATTGAAAGAGGGAAATTTAGATTAGATATTAGGAAGAAGCTTTTTCCTGTGAGGCGAGACATTGGCACAGGTCGACCAGGGAGGCTGTGGCTGTCCCATCCCTGGCAGTGTTCATTCCAGGTTGGCTAAAGCCTTGAGCAACCTGCTCTGGTGGGAGGTGTTCCTGCCCAGGGCAGGGGTTGGCACTAGATGATCTCTAAGGTCCATCCCAAGCCCTTAACATTCTGTGATTCTGTGAAATAAACCACACTTGGCATCTGCCAAGCCATTCCTGTGTGATCACACTCACATCTCACTGCTGCCAGACCTCTCACACCCACACATGCCAACAGACAGTGGTACCTTGACAGGACTGTCGTTATAGAGCCAGGCAAGGAAAGAGGTCGAGTTCCAGTACGAGTCTGGAGCTTCCCAGTCTCCATCCGACCAAATCAGGTCTGGTTTGTATCTAACAGAAATGAATCTCAGTTCAAAATGGCTTATTTTCCTCTACCACACTGTGTCTGTGGAGCTGCTGGATTTTCCCTTCTCACTGCCTGACACCACCAGGAAGTCTGAGCTTCCCTTTCTGCTGCAGACAAAGCTCTCTGTGAGGTTCTTGCAACAGCCAAGGACAGTGTGTCGACCAACAGCTCAGGAGAGGCTCAAGGGCTTCCAAAGACCAGAGTTTGGCAGCTCAGACACAGTCAGAGGTCAAAGATGAAATGTCAAGTATCAGAAGTCAAAGAGGGAAAGTCAAGTAGGTCATATGGACATGGGGTCAGAGTCCAAAGGTCAAATGTCAGAGGTCAGGTGCCAGTCAGAGGTCAAAGGGACATAGGTCAAGTATCAAAGGCCAGTGGGTCAGAGGACAAAGGTCATGTGAGCAAAGGTAATTTTATCAGAGTTCAAAGGTCAATTATCAGAGGTCAGAGGCCAATTCATTAGAGGTTAAAAGGTCAAGTATAAGAGGTCAAAGGAAAAGGATTCAGAGGTCAAATGTCACTGGGTCAGAGGTCACAGGGCCATACATCAAACACCAGAGGTCAAAGGCCAGAGAAATCTCCTTTCTTCTCTCATTGAACTTTGATGACCTGTGTTTGTGTTGTATCCTGGGGAGGCAGATTTTGCCCAACCCCTTGTGTCCAGCCCTATCAACAGGGCAAGTGTGAACTCACTTCCAAATTAGCCCAAATCATTACTGATTAGTTTCCTTGGCAAACACTAACACTTGCCACTTTTCTGCACCCACTTTGCATCTCTGTCTCCAGCACTGGGACCAGGAAATGCTCTAGATTTGAACTGGTTGTAGAGCTCTTACTTTAAGACAAGATCATACAGTTCTGGCATCGTCTTCTTTAACACAAAGTTGTGGGTCTTGAAGCCACTTTGCTTGTCAGCGAGATAGAGAGGGTGAAACCACTCCATGAGGGAGTGATACAGCCCATAACGGAGGTTGCTGAGGGACAGAAACACAGGGGGGAGAGTTAATGCTCCCAGAGGGGACTGAGAACCAGCACAGATCAAATCACTGATACTGTTATGTCACAGGAGATTTCATGACTTTGCAGCATGACATTTTTCACACCAAACTCATCTCTTGCTGCTGTTTGTCAGGCAGAAACAGGAGGATGCTCTGCACTCAGCTGGAGGAACAGATCTGGCAGTGTCATACCTCTCCCTCAGGGCTTGGCCCAGCTCTCCCACAAGGTCTCTGTGGGGCCCTGTATCCACGGAATTCCAGTTCCAGGACACGGGAGAGCCCCAGTTGGTGAAGCCTTCGTGGTGCTTCGTGGTCAGCACCACATACCTGAGGGGAAAAGCATTTGATTGGGATGGCAAAGGAACAGCTGAGATACTCCCCAGCCCCACTGCAAACCCAGCAAGGGATAACCACCCTGAGAGGAGCTCTCTGCCACTGTCCTTTACATTTGGAAGCAGCTACAAGAATAACAGAGGGTTTAGGTGGATTTTAATGCTGGAAACGAATGAACAATCGAGATTTAGGAAGTGGCAAGACCCACCACCTCCTCAGCACCCTGGGGATGACCCCTCAGGAATCTTCAGCACTGCCTTGGGACCCCCCAGTCCCTCAGAGACCCCCAGACTTGGCCTTCATCCCCTCAGGACCCTCTTGGAGACTCCAGGCATGGTCTGCACCCTCTCCCTGTCTCCTCAGGGACCCTTGGGCATGGCACTCATTCCCTCAGGTACCCCCAGACCCATCTCCCACATCCCCTCAGGAACCCCTGGGCAGGGCACTCATTCTCTCAGGGACCCCCAG